CTTTTTCCGTGTCCGGCAACGGATCGCAACCCTCAGTGTCGCCACCGTACCGGACCGGGACCGGCAACGGGATCGCAACCCTCGGCGTCGCCCCTGCGCCTCGCTCAGCCAGTGAGCGGGAACCGGTCCGCATGTGGGATCCGAACCCTCGGTGGGAGCGCTGCCGCGCTTCCCAAGCGGCGCACTATAGCAGTGCGTCACCGGGCCGGCCCCTGAAAAATCTTATTGAAAGCTATAAGATTAGCTTCTGTCTGTGTGTCTGTATGTCTATGTGAATTATGTATATGTGATATCTCTCTATCAAAAAAAAGAGAGAATCTAACTCAAATGCCTTCAGTCCATGTGAGTCAGGTAAACTTTAGGTAAATAATACTAGCTTAATATTGTTGGCTTAATAAACAGCTCTGTCTTCTGACCAGGAAACACCCATGTACTTAACTTTAGGGTTCTTGCTTAGGTGGCAACTGCCTAACATTCGCATGCTGTAAAATTGGTTAAGGGGCTGGCTGGTTAGCTCAGTCGGTTAAAGCACAGCCTTATAACGGCAAGATCATGGGTTTGGATCCTTGTACCAGCCAGGCATGTGTGTGGGAAATAACAGGAAAAATAACTTGGTTGTTTTATTCAATGTCTCACAGAATTTTCGTGAACAGTTCAAGCATGGTTGTTTAAAATAAGTAAATTAGGCATAGATGGTTATATACCCTTCATAGTTTCAAACTCTTTTTGGTAACATGAAACTTTGAGGTGAAATTAAGTAACAGACATTCATTAAATGTCTGGGTCACTTAAAATACTAAAACATGAGCTGGCTGGCTAGCTCAGTTGGTTAGAGCACAGCCTTGTAACACCAAGGTCAAGGGTTTGGTTCCCCTTACTGGTCAGCTGCCAAAAAAAAGAAAAAAAAAGATAAAATACTAAAACTACTGAAACAATAATTATTAAATATAACTTTAAAGTTTATATACACTAATATCTTATTTTTATATAGTAGGAAAAACTATATATATATGGATCTGTTGGTAAGGATGAAAAAATTGTCCTCTGATGAAGTGCATGTTTCTAGAAATTATAAAATGTAGATTTATAAAGTGTTGGTATGTGACAAGCAGTTCAAAATAGATGACTTTCTAGGTTTTCACAAATTTAAGGTTACTGAGAGTTAAAAATTAACATATCATTAAAACTACTAAAAATAGGGAAACAATTCTGTATGCAAAGTGTCAAGGAAAATAAGAAGTGTTGTTAAAAAGGAGCCTATGTGGTTAGTCCTGCTAAATTTATATAAATAACCAGGCAAACTCGTCTTGCCATGATTATCTTTGGTAGAAATGGGGTAACTGTAGAGAGAAAATTTTGTGTTTCAAAAGAAAACTAAAGCATATCTGTTATGAGACCGTAGCATTGTTTACTGATTTTGAGTTCTATTATCTACCTGTAGACTGGACTGGATTCTGAATTCTTCTAGTTTTCTTTAATACCTGGCTAAAACTCTAAGAGCAGAACCGTTCTGTTCCTGTAGACCTGTAAGCTGAAGCGAACAACTCAACATAAATTTCAAGGTACAAGTTTCATGTGTTTGTGGGGCCACACCAAGAGTTGACCAAAAACTCCTGAGACATTCGAACTGCAAACCGGGATGAGAAGTTGCCAACTTCATGCTGTAGACAGCTTTGTTCCCCAAAATCGTCTGAACAAGACTTCCTATTAAAATGAGACTCTAAACCCTCTTAATTTTTCCTTACTTGCATTCCTCTTTCACTTGAAAGGATGCTGCTGCACTTAAAATTTCAAAATAAGTATCTTCTGTGGGTAACTTGCAAATTGTCACTCCCTGCTTTAACTTAGTCATGTTATGCTAGGTTACTGTTAACTGAACAGGGAGGAGTCTGCAGTTGCTGACACTTCTTGCTGCATATGGAGAAATACATCAAGTATTGTAGAGACTCAAAACAGGCCACTTGGTTAAAACAGGTAGATTCCTCATCTGATTTTTTCTTTGATCTGTTTGATTTTCGTCGGTTTGGTTCATGGGGACCACGGCTAACGAGCATATGCCAGACTTTGAGTATTATCCTCCAAATAGTAATAATAGTAACATCCCTGGTGCACTGAATTCTCTCAGAAGTTTTAAATGTTTTTGTGCCATCCACAGAATGTCAAATGGTCAAAAGGGCTGGAATAAGGCAAAGAAATGCACCTTAACCTACGAACGGCATGCTGAGACTGGGATCCCAGAATGATGTGACTCAGAGAGGCGTTAATGCCCTTAGTTTTAGACCAAAAGGGGAGAATTGTTAAGTCAGGAGAAAGATAACAGCCAAATCTCCCTAACAGGACAGTTTAAATCTTCAGTAGGTATGATAATAAAGTTCCCTCTGCTTTATCTTTACACAAAAGAGATAGCCTGAAGTTACCTGATGTTATTTTTCTGTCCTCCTGTCCCCACCTTACAAGGAAAGTAACTTTGAAACGACCAGTCTGCTTTTTATTCTTTGTTTCTGCTTTCTTTAGCCTTTTTCTGTCTATAAAACCAGCCTCCTCTGCTTAGCTCATTGTAACACTTATTCTATTGTATGGAACAATGTGTTGCCTGATTCTGGAATCACAATAAAGCCAATTGAGATCTTCAACAAAAAAAAAAAAAAAAGGAAAGTTATCCTGACTGTTTTCTTTTCTTTCTTTTTCTTTTGTAAAGCCAGTCAAATTTACCAGTGAGGAAGTGAATAGCAACTTCAGTGACACTAGTAAGTTCTGATAACCCATTACCACTGTACCTCCCTCTGAACTCGTTTTCAAAGATTACTTCTAGGCTGGCCGGTTAGCTCAGCTGGTAAGAGCGCAGCCTTGTGACACCAACATCACAGGTTCAGATTCGCATATCCGCCAGCCACAAAAAACCAAAACAAACAAAACAACAAGAACAAAAAAGATTACTTCTAATTTACCCAAAAGGAAAGGCCAATGATTTTCATGATAAACAATGAACCAGAAAACTAAAAATTTTATCAAGAATAATAGTACCCAGCAACAAAGTTACAAAGGATATAATCAGAAGATTCTGCTCATGAAAAAAAAGTATTCTGTCTTTTAAATTTAATCCATTTGCATACCATTGAGCTAATGAAAAGAACTCAGAATTTGGAGTTTAGAAGATCTGGGTGACTGTCTATAAGATTTGGTCAAATACCCCAAGTCTTAGTGTCCTCCCTTGTAAAATGGAATAATAAAAAATGGTATTCTTTTCTAATAGGCTGAATAAATCAATGTAACTGTCCCTTTAAAATATAAATTATATAAATGTGGTTAATTAGTTTTAGTAGTGCAAATTATTAAGCAGTTACTTTTCAAAAAGGTTACCTTAGCAGTATATCCAGGATCTTTAAGCAGTAAGAAATTATGATTTTGGGGCCGGCCCAGTGGCGCACTGCTATAGTGTGCCGCTTGGGAAGCGCGGTAGCGCTCCCACCGAGGGTTCGGATCCCACATACAGACCGGCCGCTCACTGGCTGAGTGAGGTGCGGGAGCAACACCAAGGGTTGCGATCCCGTTGCCGGTCCCGGTCCGGTACGGGCGCAACACTGAGGGTTGCGATCCGTTGCCGGTCACGAAAAAAGAGACAAAAAAAAGGAAAAAAAAAAAAAGAAATTATGATTTTGGAAAAGTTAGCTAAAGTTGTTGATTCAGATGTTCACTGCTTGGCACAGATACTTGGACTTTTACATTCTAAAATAAATGCCTTACAGCTTATTTCTATACTTATCATGGGAAATAAATATAAATGATGGTGTTATAAAGGATAAAACTACTTTTAGTAGGAACACACTTACTGAAATAATAGCTGAAATAGGATTTCTGTATTTGGCCCAAAGAGAAATAAGAGAACTACGAGAAACTGAAGTGCTCCTGTGACCATCAGAATAGCACTGAACAATATGGCCTATCTACTGTCATGTGTTAGTTGGAGGCAGTACAGTCCTTTCTTTCTTAAATGATAAATTAGTCAAATGTTTTTAAAGTTTCAGAGAGTTTTACTCCTACATACAATTTTAAGGTTATACTGGTAAGTAACTAATGTAACTACAGTAGAGTAAATTAAAAGGACAATGAAAATAAAATATTAGACAATACATGTAGGTCATATTTTTAAAGTAAGCTTTTTGGCCAGCCGCCAAAAAAAAGGAAGTTTTAAAAATGCCTATTATGGGCCGGCCCAGTGGCGCACTCGGTAGAGTGCAGCACTTGGGAGTGTGGCGGTGCTCCCGCCGAGGGTTCGGATCCCATATAGAGACCGGTCCGCTCGCTGGTTAAGCACGGTGTGGACGTGACACCGAGGGTTGTGATCCCGTTGCCGGTCACGGTACGGGCGCGACACCGAGGGTTGCGATCCTGTTACCGGTCATGAAAAAAGACAAAAAGGAAAAAAAAATGCCTATTATGGGCTGGCCCGTGGCTCACTAGGGTGAGTGTGGTGCTGTTAGTGCCGAGGCCGCGGATTCAGATCCTATATGGGGATGGCCGGTGTGCTCACTGGCTGAGCGTGGTGTGGATGACACCGTGCCGAGGGTTGCGATCCCCTTACTGGTCAAAAAAAAAAAAAAATTGCCTATTATGATTATACCTAGGGAAAAGAACAATTTGATATACTGCTAAATGTAAATTAGCATAAACAATGTTTAACTAGAAATATCTATAAAAATTTTAAGTGCTGTTGGAATGTCAACTTTGTGATGGACAGGGCTTTCATTTTATACCTTATATACTTCTAAACTTTATTTTCTGCAATGAGCACAAATTAATAAAAAAGCAAAACAACAAAATACTACACACTTATTGGCAATCAAAACAATTAGAAAGGAAAATTTATTTCAACATTAATGGTGCAGATATATTCTTATTAGTCGTATCAATGAACTGTTAAACAATTTTACTAATAAAACTGTTTAGCAAAGTGAAACAAATTGATCTTTGATAACTTAAAATTACAAGATGGATCTCACCTTGGCATCTATTTCTTCTGCTTTCTCATTGGCTTCTTGTTCAATGAAAGCCATCATATGCTTAATCTATAAGAAAAAGAAAAGATTGTCTTATTTTTGAATTCAACAAGAAAATATAATATCCATCTCTTCTGATCCACTGAAAAATCATTTATGGAATGCATAAAATTCTTTTTTACATCAAATTATTCTTTCTTTTCTTTTTAACTTTTCTAACCAAAACTACATCTTTATAACTTTCTTCCAATTTCTTTCTTTTCCTACTTATTGATCTCCTTTTATCTTGTTTCTATTTCCTTCCTGAATTTATTCTTTAAAAACAAAACAAAACAAAAAACTTAAAAGTCCTTCACATAAGGAAAAACATTTTTGTTAAAAGCCTCTTCTATAGAGTCCTTCAAGTGTTGAAACAGAAACTCACTGTCATTGGCTTTCAGCCACAATAAGGAATCGAGAAGTAAAGAATCAAGGCCACTTGAAGATTTTGTTCTTACAAAATTCGACCAGTCTTGAGTGTAAATATTTAAAACTTTAACCCTAAACTTATTGGAAACTAAATTGAAGGGGGAAAAAAAAAGAGTAAAAGGCTTTTCTTTCTTAATCAGGCTGCTATAAAACCTCTTGGGGTAGGGGCCGGCCCAGTGGCGCACTGCTGTGGTGCGCCGCTTGGGAAGCGCGGCGGCGCTCCCGCCCGAGGGTTCGGATCCCACATACAGCCCGGTGCCCGCTCACTGGCTGAGCGAGGCGCGGGCGCAACCCCGAGGGCTGCGATCCTGTTGCCGGTCCTGGTCCGGTACGGGGGCGACACTGAGGGTTGCGATCCGTTGCCGGACACGGAAAAAGACAAAAAAAAAAAAAAACTGCTGGGGGAAAAAAAAATTTAGCCATGTGATCGGGCCCCATTATGTCAGAATTACTTAAATGGGCCTTCTTTTATTAACTGATAAGTTTATATTACTACCTGGGGGCGGGGAGGGGGGGGGGGGGGGCACCGGGGGGTGGGGGCCGTTGCGGGGGACGGGAAAAAAAAAAAAAAAAAAAAAAAAAAAAAAAACCTGTTGGGGTAAATAAAATTTAGCCATGTGATCGGGCCCCATTATGTCAGAATTACTTAAATTCACCTTCTTTTATTAACTGATAAGTTTATATTACTACCTCATAACTAAAATAAAAGCTATAAGATCTTTATTTATTTGTATGTATATGTGCATAAGTGTGTTTACACATGTGTACATACATTAGGCTGTATGTCGTATCTACCTAATAAACTCTAGCATAATCAGCCAGAAATGCCTCTTTACTTTTTAGTTCACATGACCTAAAAGCTTTATAATAAATAAGGTGGATTTAAATTGAATAATAAAATTAAAATAAAATGTCTTCAGAATTGTCAACATGCATTTTTGCCTCGGTTTACCAGTCAAACAGAATTATATTTGTTTCTACTAAGAAATTTTAAGGTTAAAGTTATAAACCCAGCCTACAACAGGATGATCTTTTGACTGTATAATTCTTTAATAAATGAAACTAATTTAACATTGTTTTAATGAAAGCAACTGTATAATCTAAGTTATTGACAAAATACCCAAGTTTAACTTTAATGTTCTTCAAAAAGTGCTTGATATTCACAGGTTATAAAATGGTTAATGTAGAATTAACTTAAAAGGCTGACTGGCTTTGTCTAACATCTCAGTTTTTATAAGTAATCTAGGTGTAATTTTTAAAAAATAAATAAACTGGGTAAATTAAATGATGGATATTCCTTGAATATCTGTGATATGTAATATTAGGACATTAATTTCTAAATATAAGTTTAAGCTTATATGCTTTGATTTCTTATTTTAAAGAAACAAGATATTTTAAAGAAACAAGATATATTCTGTTCCACACTGAAACCTATGTCTTTAAACATTCTAAAATATGAATTCATGAAATGTTTTAACACATAATAGAAATTACTTGCTTCCTAGGTTTTTTACTAAAATTAAGGTTAAGAGCTAAAAGGCAGAACTTATTAAAAGTTATTTCAAAGAATAAATTCAGGAAGGAAATAGAAACAAGATAAAAGGAGATTGATAAGTAGGAAAAGAAAGAAATTGGAAGAAAGTTATAAAGATGTAGTTTTGGTTAGAAAAGTTAAAAAGGAAAGAAAGAGAATAATTTTATGTAAAAAAGAATCTTATGTAGTAAATTTTTATCCTTAACATCACTTGTCATTTAGGAAAGAGAAAATATAAGACAAAACAAAATCTAAAACGCCATGAAAATGTCTGTAATAAGTCGTAATAATGAATAAGTCATAGTAATAGTTTGTAAAGGGTAAATTTATAGAAAGAATTTTGAGTGTGTTTATGTTGGCTTTAATTAAAAGGAAATTATTTCTAAGTCTTTCCAAAGATAGAGCTTTGGTATTAAAAAACAATGATACAGGGCCGGCCCAGTGGCGCACTGCTACAGTGCGCCGCTTGGGAAGCACGGCGGCACTCCCGCCGAGGGTTCGGATCCCACATACGGACCGGTTCCCGCTCACTGGCTGAGTGAGGGGCGGGCGCAGCACCGAGGGTTGCGATCCCGTTGCCGGTCCCGGTCCGGTACGGGCGCGACACTGAGGGTTGCGGTCCGTTGCCGAACACGAAAAAAGACAGAAAAACAAACAAACAAACAAAAAAATAAAACAATGATACAGAACTGAATTCCTCCATGTTAGAACAACAAGGTTTTCTTGAAGTACTGATCTACTCTTAGCAAAATTGCAAGAGCCTTTGATTTTAATCCTAAAATCTGTTTCTTTAACAGCCAATCTTCTAAACTACAGTTTCTATTTTTGTCACATTTTTCTGAAACTCATTTAATCTCCCTGTTTACAGGTTGAAAATGCTTTCTTCATTTAAAATAAAAATTTTATTTCCTGGGGTAAAATCTTCTTCTTGAAGCTTCTTATTAGACTCATATCACCGAAGTTCAACTTTTGTGGTATTGTACTATGCATAATTTACAGCTTACAACTGCCTGCAGTCCCCACTCTTCATACCCTTAAAAAGGTTTAAATAGTTCTGCTATCATGTGATACTAAAATGATGTCTTTATTAGTCTTTTTTTCTTTTTTAACTGAGCTTTAAAAGGGTTAAGGTTTTTACATCAATGTAACCTTCTGAGTTGCTTTTAAAATCTCTAATTATCACTTTGGTTCGATAAATTACTATGATTTCACAGTGATCTGTGATTCTGTTTTGATATATTAAGTTCATTTAATGACTGGGGAAAAAATGATTGGGCTTATTTGGTAAACTGCATGAAAATGATTGTCAAATAATAATCATTAGATCCTCTTTCAGTTACATTTATAGATATGCTGTTGATATAAATGTTATAAAATTATATAAAATTCTTAAAATCTGTTAGTCATATTTTGTTTTTTATATCTTCTTTAAGGGAATATTTATATAAGTATATTGTTGATATGAATATTGTAAAGATTATATAAAATTTATAAAAGTCTGATGATCCTGATGTGACCCTATCAGTCAGATTCTGGTTGTAATCTTAAGGTGCTACACGTAATAGAAGTACTCAATCTTCCTGGTCAATTGTTGACTATCATAAGTTTTTACCAGATTTTAGCCATCGGTATTCTGGGTCTCTGTCACCCACAGCTTTGACTTTTCTCTAAAGACATCTGCAATCAGATGCATGGAAAAGACTGTAACAAGTACTCTTAAACATAGGTTTTCAATAATAACTTTCAGATAAGTGAACAAAATAAAAGTTTTTCAGGACTCTAATAAGAAATCTGATGGGTTTATAAACCTACTAATCAAGATCAAGCAAAAAACCGATTACAAAAGGTTAAATAACTAATAATGTTTTTATGACTTTTGCTTAAAACATTGTTGGTTCTTTACTTAAATGTTTTGTTTTCCAGATTTAAAGAAAACTTCTCTCTTATGCTATGCATAACTTACAGCAATTTGGTAAAATATACTTTAATGAACAAAGACGGAAGTATTTGCTTTCTCCCTACTTGACTGCTCCAAAATTTGAAAACTGTTTGTATCCTTCTGATTTTTATGACAACATGGTTATTTGCATAAGTTCAATAAGTATTTGCTTTCTTTACAACAGGATACAATTGATAACATTGTTTATATTGCTAAGGCCCTAACTGGAATATCGCATTTGAGAATGTGCACAAAATGCCGGACTTCAAACGTTCTCAGCCTTACAGTGAGTAAATGAAATTGTCACTGCCTGGCAAACCGAAGAACTTTAAGACTGAAGATAAAGTCCAATGTCTACCTTGATCTGGCTTCTTAGCCTCAGAGGTTTTAAATCTGGGATTCAAGTGTGATCAATGCAGAAAAATTATATTTTTTTTTTTTTTTTTTTAAAAAGATGACCGGTAAGGGGGTCTTAACCCTTGACTTGGTGTTGTCAGCACCACGCTCAGCCAGTGAGCGAACCGGCCATCCCTATATGGGATCCGAACCCGGGGCCTTGGTGTTATCAGCACCGCACTCTCCCGAGTGAGCCACGGGCCGGCCCAGAAAAATTATATTTCTAAAGCAAAGTTATAATACACTTGTTATAAAATTGTAGTTATGTGTATTGTATTTGACTTTTTCTTATCCACCTGTAAACTGGACTGGATCCTATGAGTTCTTCCAATACACCTTTCTTCCAAAGAATTAATGAAATTGGAAGCTGCTCTTTTTCTGAAGCCCTATAGACTAAAACTGGATTAATTTTGGTGAACAGTTCTCATGTATGATATATGGTCCATACAAAATGTTCACCAACCACCCATGGCCATAATGAGACTCTTACCCCTCTAATATTTATATTTTCCACTTGACAAGAAAATGGTCACTTAATTTATTCAACTGACATGTCTCCTCTAAGTTCCTGACCCTACTTCATGTTGCCTTAATTTAGCCTGCTGTTTCATTTTTCCCCCTGACATGGGAAATGACTACCTGGGAATAAGCCTTCCCAGCACTGAGGGATCTTTTCAATCAGAAAATTGACCATCAATGTTTTCATGAAGAATATTTTGATCAAAAAGGGGAAAATAATGTCTTGTCTACACAAGCAATTCTCTAAAAATATTCACAGTCTTCAAGTGGGGGCTCAGGACCTGGATGAAACATCCAGTTCTTACACGATTCATGTAAATTCTTAAAATTATTGATGTACCAATTAATGCATAAGTTGCTAACTCTGAATAAGCCACCAAGTAATATTAGATACCTACATGGCTTTAGATTTCCTGCTAGCTGAACACGGAAAAGTTTATGCCTTAGCAACCACTTGTTGTACTTACATTAATGCCTTGGGAGAAGTTGAGACCCAAGTAAATAAAATATTTACCCATACAAAGTGGTTACAAGAGTATGTCGCCCACTGACACCCCCCTCAGTGGTTTATGTAGATGGTTATCTTTGGGGTTAAAAAAAAATCTATTTCAATGTGCATTCCAAATTGTTATTCTTACAATCATCAGCATTTCTGTTTTCTCCCTTAGGCTTAAGCTCTGTATTGCATGTACTACCAACCACCATCAATCAACTGTTAAAACAATAGATAAAGGAATACCCTTCCAAGTACCAAAAGCTATGTCCTCCATCATGTCAAATAGTTCCATTGCAAATTAACCCCTACTATACCCTGACACAGCTCACAGCAGTAAGATGAGTTGTCTGTCCTGTTCCATAGAAATGGAAGGAACTACTGACAGTGGGGAAGTTACTGGAGTGAGCAGGACTGAAGCCATGTTGGGACCTAAAATGGCATAGGTTTTAAAAGGGCACAGTTTTTTCCTTAGTATGCATTTCTCTGAGTTCCCTCTTTTCCCATGTTTATTTGATATTCTGAACCTTGGTTATGGGGCAAAATGACATTATTACATGAATGACATTATTACATGACTTTTCAGCCAGTCCGTAGCTGCAGACTTGCACACACTGTCTAAGGGAAACCAAGGAAGACATTAATTAAAAGCTGATTCCACCCCTCCAGCAGGACCATAACAACAAGGATGGGAGCAGAAATCAGAAATCAGACTGCACCTGGCCCCTTGCACATCCCCATCCCTCCTGCTTTTCATTTCCCACGTTCCATTCCCTCAGCTCCTCTTTAAAATCCCCCTGAGGGGCCGGCCTCGTGGCGCACTCAGGAGAGTGCGGGGCTGGGAGCGCAGCAACGCTCCAGCCACGAGTTCGGATCCTATATAGGACTGGCCGGGTGCGCTCACTGGCTGAGCACGGTGCGGATGACACCACACCAAGGGTTGTGATCCCCTTACCAGTCACGATAAAGACAAAAAACAAAAATCCCCCTGAAACCATAAAACCAGGAGACAGGTATAATCTGTCTCCTCAGATGTCTGATGATAAACTTCCTGCCTTGCACCAACATTTGGGACTGACGAGTCTTTTGTTTCTGAGCAGAGAACAAAGGGACCTGGATGCCAGTGACAACAGTGGGATGGTAATTTCATTCTGTAGGAGCTCTACCTTAAAGGGGTGATTAAAAAAAAAATCTAAAAATTATGTAGAATCTCTAGGTCATTAATTTATTTCGTTTACTGATTATTCCACTAAAAAGTAAGCTCTTTGAGTAGGGGGAGCTTATCTGTCTTTTATACCACTGTAACTCCAGAACATGGGACAACCACTAACACCACAGTAGGTGCTTAATAAACATATGTGAATGAATAAGAATCTGTTGGGAGTTTCAAGCCTTCTGAGGAATACAAGGTTTCCCAGGTACTTCTTAGTGTGTAACAATCTGGAAACAACTCCCACAGTAACTTCTCCATGTAACACAAAGATATCATAAATCTAAGGTACATGTAGGTGTACAAATTAAGATTTGTTTCACAATAATGTGAATATACTTAACACTACTGAATTGTACACTTAAAAATGGTTATGACAGTAAGTTTTGTCATGTGTTTTTTTCCACACTTTTATAAAAACATGAGTTAGGAATACAAACTCGTGGCATCAAAGTCTTAAAGAAAACATATAGTATGGTTTTAAAAGGGACAGATCTATTCTTTTATCAAAATTCTTAGGAGCCACCCTACTCCTGAGGAGCCAAAAAATTATGACAACAGAACCTATTTTAAGGGCCGGCCCGTGGCTCACTTGGGAGAGTGCGGTGCTGATAACACCAAGGCCACAGGTTCGGATCCTTATGTAGGGATGGCCAGTTGGCTCACTTTGGGAGCGTGGTGCTGACAACACCAAGTCAAGGGTTAAGATAAAAAAAATACTTTTATCAAAATTCTTAGGAGCCACCCTACTCCTGAGGAGCCAAAAAATTATGACAACAGAACCTATTTTAAGGGCCGGCCCGTGGCTCACTTGGGAGAGTGCGGTGCTGATAACACCAAGGCCACAGGTTCGGATCCTTATGTAGGGATGGCCAGTTGGCTCACTTTGGGAGCGTGGTGCTGACAACACCAAGTCAAGGGTTAAGATAAAAAAAATAAAAAATAAAAAATAAGGGCCGAGCCCGTGGAGCACTCGGGAGGGTGCGGCGCTGGGAGCGCGGAAGCGCTCCCGCCGCGGGTTCGGATCCTATATAGGGATGACTGGTGTGCTCACAGCGCTCAAGCGCGGTGCGGCCGGTCTCAAAAAGGACAAAAAAAAAAGAACCTATTTTATAGATAATACAGTACGAGGGTACTTCAAGAAGTTTGTTCAAAAATGGAATTATAAGATAATACAATCTTTCTGTGAACTTTCTGAAGATCCCTCATACTTATAGTCCTGAGCCTTGAGATATTTGGGGTACCTAGTCCAGAGGTACATGTATGGAAAATTCACTGACCTTGCTTAAAGTGGGGGAGGGGAGTCATGGTGTGGAACTGTGTCTCTACAAGTTCAGTTTGAAGCCTCGCTGAAGTTATTCTGTCTGGAATTTTAAAAGTAGTTTAAATACAGTAAATCAAAACTGGTGTTTATAAATGCTACAAGACATGTTTGGCCTCTGAAGGTGAACCCTAATTCAAACCTGTATAATCTGACCTTCTCACTCACACTGGACCCTCTGCTACCAGATCTGACTAGATCAGCACAGCCTAGGGCAAAAAAGCACTCATTTTAACCTAGTCAGAGAAGTCTATAACCAACATGATCACATTCCCTCTTTTTTTTTTTTTTTATCATTTCGCCCGGCGTAGGGGAAGTGGATTTCTGAATGGCCACATTCCCTCTTTAAGAAGAGAAATAGTCAGCCCCTTAAGAACATTTAACTCCCCCCTCAAAGCATAAAAATCTGACCTTCAGAAAAAAACTTCTCTTCTTCCTGCTAACCCAGTAATCAGGTTTTCTGGAGCCAGGTTCTTTGGATCTGATGAAATACGTGATCATACCCCCCAGACAAAAAACCAAATACAAATATTTTAATATAATGGGGAAGAAGTCAGGGAATCTAGAATGTAATAATCATCTACTACATGCCTGGTGCTTGCCCTATTCTCTGCTGAGAATACAGTGAACAAAACACAATGCCCTCATGGAGCTTAGATGGAGTGTGAAGGGGTACAGACAATAGACAAAATTTCTTCATTCTCTCAATTTCACACAAAGAAAAAATTATTTTTGGTCTAGATTCCAAAGAAATACATTGCTTTACCTTTGTACTACATTTTTCCTGTGGAAGCCTTACTCTTCAATATATTATAACAAGGGGGAAAAGGCGAGAAGAGGAGAAAAAGAGTGTAGCACATGGAGGGGATCGTACTTTTCCACTGCATCAACTTTTCCCTTATTAAAAACCCTAAGAGGGGCTGGCCCGACAGCTCATACCACCAGAGTGTGGTGCTGATAACACCTAGGTCAAGGGTTGATTCTGGAACCGCTAGTGGGTTCCCCCACCTCCCAAAAGGGACAAAAATCATAAGCAGTGATAAATGTCCAAAAACCTCATTGCTCTGTTGTAAGAATATTGTAAGATTTTTTTAACTTCTCCATAGATGCTATTTTTGTCATCCCTATTTCCCCATGTGGTTAACAGAAGAACCATAAAATGAAGAAATGACCACTATCTTAGTGCATATTAGGTTAAGAATAAAAAGACATTTTCAAGGAAATGGAAACATCCAAGGAAAAAAATATTTTATTGCTCATCTAAGAAGATTCGTAAGCCAGTGCGTGTTCTTTAGTCACAGAATTTTCCTAGTATTTTGAAAAGAAGTAAGGCTTAGTTCTCTAAACTATTCCGAGACTACATTGCAGCCTTAAACTTCCTTCTCTGAAAACCCTACTGGCAATGAGTACTAACTGCAAGGACGCTGGTTGCAGGGTATCTATTGGCAGGACAATGGAAACCAATTTTTCTCATGTTAGTTACAGGTGTATCAATGACACTACATTCCCTAGACGTTTCTGCATTATAATATCCGTAATGCCTACACACTTGAAGGTCTGGGGCATTTTAAAAAACCAAACAAGTTTCCCAGGACTGATCACACACTTTTAAGCTGGATGTAGGTTCACGACTTCCATAACAAATTTTTCCGTAAACTCTGACTCGCCTACTCTGTGCCAAACACCGTTAGGCGCCGGGGCTCGTAAACGTAACAAAACAGGTCTTGCATTTGAGAAATATTAACGTACAAACTCGAGGTAAACAAACCATTACAACTCACTATGATACAGGAGACTCCCCCAAGATAAAGACGAACAGTTCGCAAACGACCTCAAACAACACTGGGAGCAGCTCTCTCCCTTCAGCACTGTTTCCTTCCTATTACACACCGTGAGCCCTCCCGTCAGTTAAAAATGCAGGGAAGGGGCGGTTTTCAGTCCTCTGCCCTGGAGCACGGCGAGGAGCCGGGGAAGCAGGGCCCGTGGAGGCACGGAGCCGGGGCGCACAGCTCGCGGGCGGCGCGCAGGACCGCGCTGCTGCCACACGAGCAGCGGGCGCACCCCGTCAGCAAGCCTCCCTCCCGCGCACGGACCACCAGGACGCCACCCCCGGACTGGCGCCGCGCCTTCGCGAGGCCCAACGCCAGGCCCTCACCTGCTTCTGCACGTCGGCATCGCTGAGAGCCATGGCGAAGGCGATGCGAGACCGCTGGGCAACGGGTTCGAACTCAGATTCGCAAGGGGCGGCGGAAGGAATGCGAAAAGGAAATGCGGGGAAAGCTCCAGCTTCCTTGACTCCAGAACCCCGACTTCCGGTTCCTGCCAGGTGACCGCGCAGTCCAGCCCCTTGAGCTTCCTCAGCCAATGGGAAGATAGCAGGGCCTGGGAAGTCCCGCCCCTCCCCGCCCTATCCTGCCCTTCCCCGACCGGGCGCCTGCGTGCGGCCTCCTCCCGAGTCCTCCAACTTCGCTCGCTGGCTCGTGACTTCAACTGAGCTGCTCTCCTGAACTGCGCGCGGGCCCTGAGGAGGAGGAGGAGGAGGGAGAGGAGAGGAGAGGAGTGCCTCCTGTACCTGAAATTAGTAGAGCTGTTTGAATCTCTACACCCTTACAGCTCTTGCATTTTTTTAAACTTTAAATATTTATCCAAAAACTTGAATTTATTATAATTTCACTCTCATTTAGGAAGCAAACTCATTAATATTTGCTTTACAAGGGGTCCTCAAAAAGTTTTCGTATTAATGTATTTTATTTTTAGAAGTTTTAGACTTACAGAAAAATTGGGCAGATAGAAGAGAGTTCCAATATAGCTTTCTTTATCTTACACACAGTTGCCCCTATTATTAACATCGTCCATTAGTATGATACATTTGTTACAATTACTTAACCAGTCATGATGTATTAACTAAAGTTCAATTTATTCCAATTTTCTTAGTTTTAAGCTAATGGACTTTTTTCTGTTCCAGGATACCACATAACATTTAGGTGTCATTGCCTTCTTAGGCTCCTCTTGGCTTAACTTTTGTCTTTGATGACCTTGATAGATTTTTTTTTTTTTTTTTGTCTTTTTTCCATGTCCGGCAACGGATCGCAACCCTCAGTGTCGCCCCCGTACCGGACCGGGACCGGCAACGGGACCGCAACCCTCGGTGTTGCCCCGGCGCCTCGCTCAGCCAGTGAGCGGGAACTGGTCCGTATGTGGGATCCAAACCCTCGGCGGGAGCGCCGCCGCGCTTCCCAAGCGGCGCACTAGCGCAGTGCGCCACCGGGCCGACCCAACCTTGATAGATTTAAGGAGCTTTTTTTTTTTTTTTTTTTAAAAGATGACCGGTAAGGGGATCTTCAGCTTTGACTTGGTGTCAGCACCATGCTCACCCAGTGAGCGAACCTGCCATCCCTATATGGGATCCGAACCCGTGGCCTTGGTGTTAGCACCAAACTCTCCCGAGTGAGCCATGGGCCGGCCCTCTAAGGAGTTTTAAGGATTACCAGTTAAGTATATTGTGGGATGCACCTGTATTGGAATTTTTCTCCTGATTAGACAGGGTTCGAGGGATGAAAATCATAGGGGTACAGTCTCTTCCATCATGTACATCAAGGGTACATGCTATCAGGATGAGTGTTTTTTTTTTCTTTTCCTTTTTGTCTTTTTTCGTGACTGGTAACGGGATCGCAACCCTCGGTGTTGCGCCCGCACCGCGCTCAACCAGTGAGCGGACTGGTCTCTATATGGGATCTGAACCCTCAGCGGGAGCGCCGCCGTGCTCCCAAGTGCCGCACTCTACTGAGTGCGCCACCGGGCCACCCCGGTATCAGAATGAGTTTTGACTGTTGATGTCAACCTCAATCGTCTGGATGAAATGGTGTTTGTCAGATTTCTCCATCATAAAGTTATTCTCTTGTCCCTCCTTTCCATACTATACTCTTTAAAAGTATGTAGTTACTATGTGAAACCCACATTTCAGGGGTGGAGTATCTACATAATTTATTTGGAAGTCTTCTGAAATAGCCCATGCATTTTTCAACATCATTCCCAGGGGCCCACTTAGAGGAAAATTAGGGCAGAAATTCCCCAGACTTATTCGCTTTGTTTTTGTTTGGATTTACTTCAAGCCTTCCCCCACCCCATCCTTTTCCCCCCAACTACAAAAGCAAAAAACTTAAAAATTCTTCATCTTTAGGGTAGACTCCTAGTAGTAGAACAATGGGTCAAATGGCACACACTTTTTTTATTAGCTTTTTATTTTGAAGAAATTTCAAACATAGTTAAATTCTAAGTATGGTACAATGAACTCCACCTAAATTCACCAATTTTTAACATTTTGCTTCATTTGCTTTATCACTTTTTTCATACACACTCATATTATTCACTTAGGAGTATACTAACATTTATAAAGCAAATGTATTTCACAGGGCCTGGTTTCCAAAGTCCTGTAGTTTCAGGTTTAACTTAACTTTTTATTTTTTTTAATTTTATTTTTTTATTATTTTTATTTTTATTTTTTTGACCAGTAAGGGGATTGCAACCCTCTGCATGGTGTGTTCTGCACCATGCTCAGCCAGTGAGTGCACCAGCCATCCCTATATAGGATCTGAACCCGCGGCCTCGGCGTTACCAGCACCACACTCTCCCAAGTGAGCCATGGGGCTGGCCCTAACCTAACTTTTAAAAATTACATATAGAAATGTTAACCTTGCAAAAGACAGGAAACTTTCCCCAGGCTAAAGTCTCTGATATAGGTAAAGAATTATAACACTGCAAAATTGTTGGCTCAAGGACAGACGTCCTTGGAGCAGGTTAACCTACTGATTGATATGTTAAGAAAGTTGCTTTATTGTTATGTAAAAATACTGAGGAAACTGCTGTAGGACAACACAGTATTTGCTAAGAACAAGCTTTTATTGGTAGATTGACTTAACCTTTTGCAACTTGTATTCATGGAATGTCACTTTATTTCACTGATGTTACCAGCTTCTATTGTTAAATTATACTTAGCCCTAACTCCACCTGTTTTCCTTTTCTGTAACTTTCTGGCCTGGAGAATAAATACTGAGACAGAACCCCAGTTCAGGGCTAATTTCCTGAGGAGGAATGCCTCTCTCTTGAGGGTTCCAGGAAATTAACCCCTTCGGGGTGTCTCACTGCTCAGAAGAGATGGGCTTTGAGTAATCCTTTTTTGCATCTCCGTCACCCCGTGTGAGGCAAAGCAACAATTCACGATTATTTCAGTGTGTGTAATAAGAACAAGTATGTACATTGATCAAATTCAGGAAACCTAATGTTGGTAGAATACTATTATCTAATCCATATTCAAATTTTGTCATGTCCCACTAATGTCCTTTATAGCAATTTTTTTTTCCTGATCCAGGATTCAATCCAAGACCACTTACTGCATTAGTTATTGTGTCTTTTTAGTCTCTTTTAATATGGAATAGTTCCTCAGAGTTGTCTTTGACTATCCTTTCCTGATAATGACATTTTTAAAGAGTACAGGTCAGTTGTAGAAAGTCCCTCACTTTGATTTTGTTAGTTTCCTCATAATTAGATTCAGCTTATGCATGGAGTACTGCATGTGTGATATTGTGTCCTCAGTGCATCACATCAGAAAGCACACGATGTCAGTTTGTCCTTTTTTTTTTTTTAATATGGAATGCTTCATGAATTTGCATGTCATCCTTGTGCACAGGCCATGCTAATCTTCTCTGTATTGTCCTAATTTTAGTATATGTGCTGCTGAAGTGAGCACATTTTTTTTTGCTTGTTTGGTGGCTGGCTGGTACAGGGATCCGAATCCTTGACCTTGGTGTTAGAACACTGTGCTCTAACTGACTGAGCTAACCAGCCAGCCCTCAGTTTGTCCTTTTAATGGGGACAGTATACACATTCTTAAGGCTCTTAATACATGCTGCTAAATTGTTTTCCAGCTGTACTAGTAGTGTACAATGTTCCTTATAGTGGGTGACAGATTGGTACACATATTTGAGAAAACTGGTAATGTTGGGTAAGGGAGGGATTTAGCTATGGAACAGTAAAACTAACAGGGCAACAGAAATCCATGCAATCGACCTTAAGTTGATCAGTATTCTTTTTTTTTTTTTTTTGAGACTGGCCACACTGTGCTCAGCCAGTGAGCACAGCGGCCATCCCTATATAGGATCCGAACCCGCAGCGGGAGCGCTGCCGCACTCTCCTGAGTGCGCCACGGGCTCGGCCCAACTTGATCAGTATTCTAATCAACTGAGCTAATCCAGATGACAGGATTGTTTGTTTAATTTTGTTAATTTTTGCATTAATAGCTTCATTCTTCATAATCCCAGGAGACAGATTCCAGGATTTGCCTCCCTCTAGAATCTGTAGGCTAGGATGAGGTGGTATTAACTCATTTGGATTACAATACTTCCTCTCATTTATATTTACAAATTTCTACAAATGACAGGGAGTGAGAACAGCAATCTAATGTCACATGTCAAATTGTTTATGAAATTAATGTCCAGAATAGGTGTAGCACTGTTCGTATCAACTGGCTTTTATTTTATGGAAAAAAGTGTAATGATCTTTATGATTTATTTACTATTATTTTGAGACATTAGAAAATATAGAAAAGTATGGGCCGGCCCGGTGGCGCACTGGATAGTGCGCCGCTTGGGAAGCGCGGCGGCGCTCCCGCCCGAGGGTTCGGATCCCACATACAGACCGGTTCCCGCTCACTGGCTGAGCGAGGCGCGGGAGCAACACCGAGGGTTGCGATCCCGTTGCCGGTCCCCGGTCCGGTACGGGGGCAACACTGAGGGTTGCGATCCGTTGCCGGACACGGAAAAAGACAAAAAAAGACAAAAAAAAAAAAAAAAAGAAAATATAGAAAAGTACAAAGAATAATTCAAATATTCATGTACCATGTACCACTACCAAAAACTGGCAATTAACATTTGTCACATTTACTTTTTTTTTCCTATTTATTTATTGGCAGCTGGGTGGTATGCAGATCCTAACCCTTGACTTTCGTAACATTTAAGACTTCATTTTAAAAATAAGTCATATTACAGACATAGTTAATATCCCTTTTGGTGCAGCCCCCCTCCCACACCACCACATGTTAATGCTGTTTAAAACTACATTTTCTACAGTGTTTTGCTGATTCACCAATGAGCAGGCCAAGTCTTGTCTGATGAGAATGTGGTAAGCTTGACAGTGAAAAAATTATTAGGAGTACATGGAAAGATTAACCAATTGGTAGTTTTCCAAATCCACTTTTCTCCTATACTAGCTTAGGTCTTGTGGAGAAACTTTAGTTGAAA